CTTCTCCCTTCTTCATTCTGGGGGTGTTCGTGAACTCTCTTTTCTGGACGGTGGAACGGCTTCTTTTTTCTTGTTACCTTCAATTTTTCCGCGGGGCAAATTTTCTTTTCACTTGCTCCTGCCTCTTATTGGCTTGCCCTTGTACTTGTCGTTTTTCCACCTCTGGAGCTTGTGCCTGCGGTGTCTGCCGTGCCGGATCCTGCAAAAGATCTGAAAATATTTGCATTTTATTACGATCGAAGTAGGGCTTGATTTGATCAATGTTTGCGGAACAGGTTTCACCATTTCTGGCTTTTAACACTACTACAGCGTGAGTTATTTTTTCTATAACATATGGTCCTTCAAATCGTGGAAAAAATTTGGCAGTTTTATCTTCTGGTGCTGAAGAAAGTGAATGCTTAATTTTTAAAACTTCATCCCCTACTTTATAAGTTACTCCCCGTCGTTTCAATCATAATAGAGCTTCTGTTTTCTTTGTGCTACTTCCGTATTCTTTTTTTTGCTTCTTTTATTAGTTTTTCTATATCACCCATTTTAAATTCTGGGGCTCTTGTTGCACATAAAATAATTTATCTAACGGCGTTATAATCTTTCTGCCTAGAAATAACTCAGCAGGAGTTTTGCCCGTTGTATCATGTTTTGCGGTCCTAAGGGCGAAAGCAAATTCATTGACATAGTTATCCCAGCTTTTATGAAATTTTTAACATAACTACGGATAATTTTCACTATATTTCTATTGACCCGTTCCGCTATATTTGATTGCGGCCGATACGGGACCATTTTTAAATGACGTATGCCCAGTTTTTGGCACATGTCTTCAAATATATTACTTACAAATTGAGGACCATTATCCGATATAACTTTTAGGGGCGCCCCGTATTTTAAAATATATTTATTTAAAATAGAATCAGTAACTAATTTCGCGGAGGCTCGTTTTAAGGGAACAATTTCGGTCCATTTACTAAAATGATCAACCATAACAAGGAGATAGCGACTTTTATTTAACTGACTTTTTGGGAAAGGGCCCAATAAATCGATGCCAATTATTTTCATTTGGAAATTCGGATTTAATACTATTTAGAAACCCGGCCGGGCGGAAATTAATATAATTAACTGCTTGACATGTTAACATACTACTTGGCATGTTGGGGACTGGACATACGCCCTTGTTAACTTTTGCAGTTCAGGAAAGTAGACTGCTTCGCGTACGCGTTGGATGGTTTTTCGAATACCAGCATGAGAAGCTAAAGGGCTGTCATGGTCAAGCTCCTGCAGGATATTTAATCTAAGCTAATTTAATTTAACTAGCTGGGATAACAGGTCGAAATTCGTTGTTGGAATTCGGAGTTTTTGTATAGAATAATAGACCATCTATTAGTTCGTAATGGGCCGCCCTATTTCTTATCGCCACAATATCTTGGTGGCTAAAATTTTCAGGATTCTTCAAATACTCATAAATGTTTCCAAAACTCAGGATCCTTACCCAGTTCGGTTATTACAGCTTCTCGGGAATTTATTGTACATGCTGTAAGCATTGCCACCTTTACGGTATTACCTTGTTCGTCTATTTTAATTCTTGATAGGGCATCTGCTACAATATTTTCCTTTCCGGGGGTATGCTTGATTACCAGATTATATTCTTGCAGCTTGAGTGCCCATCTTATTAACCTGGGGGATAAATTTTTCCCTGAGTACAATCTAGTTACCGCCGCATGATCAGAGTACACTGTTATCGGCGCCTTTCCAAAATAGACTCGGAACTTTTGCACTGCTAACAGAACTGCAAGTGCCTCTCTCTCGGTCGCGGAATAGTTTTCTTGTGTTTGATTTAAAGTTCGGCTAAAAAATGCCACGGGCTGCTGATTTTGCGAAGTACCGCTCCTACCGCATAATCCGAAGCATCTGCTGAAATTTCTAAATTCTCATCCTTTTCAGGAAATTTCAACACCGGGGCTTGCGTTAATGCTTGTTTTAATTTTTCGAAAGCACTATTGGCTTCGGCCGTCCACGAGAATCTTGCCTTTTTCCTTTTTAAAATTTTAACAACGGCTCAGCGATAGCCGCAAAATCTTTTATAAAGGACCTATAATATGAGCAAAGTCCTAGAAAAGAAGAGAGCTTCTTTGCCGTGTTTGGAGTCGGATACTTTTGTACAGCGATTATTTTTGATTCATCTGTCTCGATCCCTTTTTGAGATATTTTGTAACCTAAATATTTTAATTCAGGGGCTGCAAATTTGCACTTTTCGACATTAACTTTTAGACCGGCCTCATTTAATAAAGAAAACACCTGTCTTAAATCCTGTACATGTTGGTCGAGATTATCACTAGTAATAATGATATCGTCTAAATAGATAAATGTGGACTTTCCAAGAACAGGTCTTAACACAATGTCCATGCATCGCTGAAATGTTGCTGGGGCCCCTGAAAGGCCAAACGGCATACGCAAAATGCATAAGTGCCAGACTTGGTTATAAAAGCAGTCTTAGGCACGTCCTCAGGCCTAACCCCTATTTGAAAATAACCAGTCGTTAAGTCTAAAGTCGTCATAAATTTGGTTGATTTTATGTTCCTTAAATTTCTTCTATGATCGGTAACGGATATACCGGATATTTAGTTATGGAGTTTAATTTACGGTACTCAATAGCGAATCTCCACCTTTTTGGATGCGTCAAAGGATAGTCATTATTTTTTTCTTACATAAAACCACCGGGCTAGCATAACTACTTGAGATGGGGCGTTATGATCGTTTTACGTAGCATATCGGTAATATGCCATTATATAATTTTTTCCTTATTCTTATCATACCGGTATGGTTTTTGGCGAACTGTCATTGCATCTCCGGTGTCAATACTATGGTTAGTAACCTGAGTAAATCCTGGAATATCACTAAATAACGAAGCAAATTCACTTACCACTTGTCGGATTCTTCCTTGCTCGTCATTAGGGAGGTGGTCAAGTTTTAACATCGGCGGTTCAGCCTTTTCCGCATGCCTTTTCTGGTTTCATTGTCAGCTTAAGGGACGCTTCATTAAAATCCAGTGTTGCTTGTGCGTCTGAAAGAAAATCTATTCCTAAGATTAAATGTGCTTGCAGATTCTTTACTATAAAAAACATCACCTTTACTTGTTCGTCCTTGATACGGATATACAAAGGTACTTTACCTACGCACTTACATTTTTCTCCTTGCCCCGCTAACACTGTCGTATTATCCGAATTATATATGCGGTATTTGCGAAAATACTTCCTAAAAAAATCTTCTGCCACACAGGAACACTGCGCGCCGGTATCCAGGAGGGCGGTGGCTGGGATATTATTCACCAAGACTTCAATCTTCGGAAGGGTCAGATTTTTCACCATTACTGTATTTAACTTGTAGGAAGATGTGTTTTCGTGGCCTTCGGATTTCCGCACCCTCCCGTCAGCAGAAATCCTTTTCAGTTTAAATCCTTTTTTGTTTCCGTGCTTTCCTTCTTTTTCCACTGGCCTTGAGACTTTTTTCCTGGGTTGCTATTGAACTGTCGACGTTCGCCGGCTGTTTTTGAATGCTCGGGTTTCCTTGCCCACTGATTCGCTTTTTCTCCGTAGCCGTGTGCTTGAGTTTGCTGTAGTCTTGGCGTACCAAATTGGTTTCGCTGTTGATATTGGCGTCTTCTTCCGACGTCCGCCGTTCTTCTACTTTCAAACTGGATTGCTAGCTCAAATAACTTTTCCAGTGTAGTCGGATTTCTCTCAATTCAATAAAGTCTTGCACTTGGGGCAGTAACCTCGGCAAAATCACTTGAATTATTTCAGGATCCGGACGGTTTCCATACAAGAGCTTGAAGACGTGAATTTTTCTTAAAATAAAGCTTGAGAGGTTTTCGATTCTTTGTTGATATATACTAAAAAGTTCCGTTTCTAATTTCGCACGATCCCTTACAACAGGGAAGGCTTTTAGTAGGGCAGTCTTGCAATTCTCGTAAGTATAGGTGGGACTTCCTGCTTGACCCAACAGACTCCTGCCTATACATTTGAACCAGTTAAGCGCTTGGCCCCTCAAAGCGCTGGTAGCTAAGGTAACTTTTTGAAACTCGTGCACGGGGTAGAGCATGAAATGGTCATCCAATTTTTCCAAAAAGGTGGTTACCGGTGAGTTTCCATTAAATGTTGCTTCTGGTTTCATCGAAGCGCGCATGGTCTGGACGATGTAACCAAATCCTTCCAGGGCGGCAGCTGGCATTTCTGGATTCTGAGCCGTTTCTGCAGGCAGGACAGGTTCTTCTTGAAACTTGGCCATGGTTATTCTTTTTCTTTGGGCGCCACTATCAGGGTCAATGTTCCTTTTTACTTCTTCGGGAACATACAAGGACCTGACTCGGAACAGAGAGCTTACTAAAGCTATGTTCACTAATTGTGGTAAGTAGACAGGATACACACGAAGGGTATACAAAACCCTTTATTTTTCTCTATATACAATAATTTCCGTACTTCGGAATACACTGACCCGCTACTTGGGGTCTAACGTAAAAGTATCAAAATAAAACTAAACTCTAATTTAACTTTAGAATAATAAACGTGGAAGATTGGCCTTAAAATAACAGGAAGCGTATGTAGTACAGAGACTGTGAACACTACAATACGTTTTATTTATCAAGAGGATTAAAACCTCTGGCCTGGAAGGCAAACAGCAACTGCGTAACTTCTAAGGTAAGCGGCCTGCTTTGACTCACTGCTTCCTCTCACTCGCTTGGCAAAAGGCCACAACTTAAATATTTGGCGTTCGCCAGACAAACTTTGCATAAAAACCTTAACGCTTATAATTCTGGCCGGAAGTAGAAAATAAGAAGTGATAGTAAAGATTTAAAATAAAATAAACGTTAGTAAAACTTAAGATCCTTACAAACCTTTATTAAAGAAATTAAATATAAGAATTTTTATTGATACATTTCCATTAAAATTTATTATTCTTAGACGGAAAGGGAAATATAGAATTTTTAACATTTATTTATTAAACATGAGCATATATGGTTTCTGTAAAAATTATTTAACAATTTTAGTCAATCACAAGTATACATATTAATAAAAGAGAAAAAACGAAAATTTTATTTTTTCATCAGTTTTGTAGTATTTATTTTCTATTTGGTTGCAATAGTGTCTCTTGACTTAATTTTGCTTCCTCTTGATTTCCAGGCAGTTTTCTCTTCGTTTTGATTACTTTCATTAGCCACTTTTTTAGTACTCTTCTTTCCTCTGCCTTCGTTTGATTTTATAATTTCAGTGGATTTCCTTTCGGAATCTTTAAGGACTTTGTTGCCATTCTTAGGAAAATGTATTTCTTCTTTTGGCTTTTTTGATTTCAATGAGATATCAGCCTTTTTCCTAGAAATTACTTTGCATGCTTGATTTTTAACTGAATTGTTTTCTCTTTCATGAGAATTTGTAAGATTTGAAAAAACATATTCACCTGTGTTAGATTTTTTACTCGAAAACTTTGGAACGAACCTTTTTTGCGGAGTTTTTTGTGAGCTATTCTCTAATGCTAGGGTGGTTAAAATCGATTCCGATGTTCTCTTCTTTGGATAAAAGTGTGGCGCATATTTAGGTTGAGACTTCTCATTTTCTGTTGTCAGTGTCATACTTGAGCACGATGCTGAAGCTAACTGCTGAGATTCTTGGATTAAAAATATCTTGCTTACATCATTTTCTGAATAAACAGATGGAAAACGATGGGAAATATTTTGAAGAGTTTTACCTTCGATACTGAGATTTCGATTATCTTGCAGACACGGATCAATAGTAGCATTATAATTCCCTATGAAGTCTGTTTTAGAACGGTTTACACAGCTTGAAGTGCTTGTATGCACGTTATATGTTGTTCCAGGTCTCGGTTTCATATCCTAATGAGAAAATTCAATTAAATAGGAAATGTTTAATAATAAAACTATACCATCAGATGTTTTATTATAAAATTATTTGCACACATTTTCAAATATCACTGTACGAAAAAGCTCTTTGAGTATAAAAAAAGAATCTATTTTAAATATTGATCATTAAATTAAATAGTTCATTTTTTGTAATTGTTTCGCGTAACTTACGTTTTGCGCTTCTTTCAAATAAAACTGGAAATATAACCATCTTAAAAGTTCAGTGAAATAAGCTTTCATTGAAGAAAAGAACAGGAAATAACAATATATATTTATTTTGAAATTTTAGTTTCTATTTCAATAAAATCTTTCAGAAGCATTTTATACATGAAGGACATTTTTTATATTTTATGGTAAGATATAAAATAAATGTTTTAAAAATTAAATTTAATATTAATATAGATTTATGTTTTTATGCGATATATGTAATATTATATACAAGTTCATTGATACTTACAGTAATTTATTTCTCATCGAAGGAATTATTATTTCACAAAGATGTATAAATATTCAGGTAAGGCTATCTTTTGGAAAATACGAATAAATTGGATATCATGTAGATTTAGGATTTTCATAAAATGAAACACGAAAAATGAGCAAGGGCCTCTCGGGGACTCGATCCTGGACTTATCGAATACGCGCCGAGTCTGCTACCGTTACAGTACGAAGGCATGCAGAAAGCAGAGAGAAAATACCTTATGTACTTCTCCTTTTTCAAAAGGGACCCAGTCGCCAAATCCTGGTGGCGAATCATCATCATCCACCACCTTTCTGTTCGGGTGCCACTGTACAGGAATTAAGATTTTTGAAATAGGAAACGCGAAAAATGAATAATGCCCTCGCCTGGACCTCTCCAATACGCACAGAGTGTGCTACCGTTACACCACGAAAGCATGCAGAAAGAAGGAACAAAATACCTTATAATCATTTTAGACCAAGTGGATCGAGTTTTATTCCTCTCATTTGTTACCTTACAATCATGCCTAGCATTAAAAAGTACACTTTTTCAGCAGAAATATTGCTGACTTAAAAATCCCTCTCATATCACCTCTTGTGTAAGATGAATGATATCATATTTAAATACTGACCAGAAGTTTTTGTTTCAGTATAGCTCATTGTTCATTTTTTACTCGAAACCATGGCCAGTGTTTAAACTTATACCACAGTTTGTCTATCCTGCTATTTTCATATCATTCTCTTTCTTTGATTATGATACTGCATTTTTATGTGGCAACAACATAATAATTTAAGAAAAAAATAAGATGAAGAATACATCGGATACGCTCGAGATGACCGTTTGTTTAAAACAACCCCAGAAAGTAGTATTTCTGAAGCCATAAATAATCGTCGATATTGAACATTACCTCTTTGAGACGACCGCCTCCACAGAAGATCAAAATCATATGGAACCCTGAGTGCCCCAGTTTAGGAAGAACTCATTATATTCTTGCTGTAGAATTTGTAGTAAAATAGAAGTAAAATTATAAAAATGCCCTTGAAGTTAAATGAATAAAATATTTTCTGTTATACATAGGTTACAATTTAAATGATTTCTTGTTAAAACGTCACTAGAGGGAGAAGACAAATATTGTTACTTATTTAACAATACCCCATCTGAATTTTATATTATAATTTGACAGAACTATTAGTCTGTACCTTCCAGTTGTATTTAAATTTCTGTATGGTTTCTAAAGCATATTATTTCACAACTTTACTTGAGCTTATAACTAAGTATATAAAAGTGAACATGTATTAAAATGTATGCTGTATTTTTGATGACATAAAGTTGAACTGATAATAGACTTAAGTTTCTGTAAGTCCTATACCCTTATAAATCCTTATTAGTTAAGGTGAGGACATCACTTGTCTATTTATAAAAAAAAAAAGATCTACATTTTCTCGCTCGCATTGAAAATCCACGAGAAATGCGTCTATCGGTCTTTTCTGGTATTTCTTTCAGTATTTCAGGTGTGACCTCTCTTCATATTCAGAAAAGTAAGCAGGTCTCTAAGATTATCCAAAAAATCGTGCTTGAACAGTGATGCATGTGTGATGTTGCTACTTAATGTAAGTTATATCCTTTTAGATGCTATTATAGTGTCATTTGTCAAGAAAATATAAGGGTATAGGCATTTCCTAGACGACCTGTACTTTTATCAAATTTCCATGTGAGACATACCTCTTTGATTTGTAGAGCAGGATAAAACTGAAGAAAAGGAAAGCAAGCTTTCGTGTCAAGAATCGTACACTTCTCACCGCACACATTTCCCAATCTTTTACAGAAATCACTAATGAATGAACGGAGAACATTTTGATAGTTGATCCCACTTCTTTTAAAAATCAGTGGAGATGATCTCACACAATACAATGGATATCTAGGTATACGTTAAGCAAATTAAGCTGAGAAATTTAATTCAAATTTTATATAAATTCAAGAACTAAATTTCACATTTTTTTTTTACTTACTGTATTCTACACTGTATCGAAAGTTTATACACGCTGATTAAGATAATTTTTACTGCCACGGAAGTGAAATTGTCGTTAATGCGACAAATGAAGCCACTGAAGTTTTTTTTAAACTGCTTTAGTATTTTCTTTTAGAATCAAAAGATTCTTTACAGATATGAATAAAAGCGATTGTGGTCAACAATTTTACAGATAAATGATTACGATATTTATAAAATTACATTTATATATAAACAATTTAACATTAATTAATTGTTCGTATCTTTGAAATGCACTTGTACAGAAATAAATCATGTAAAGTTTATACAGAGTATTAGAAAGGAACAGCTTTAGAAATTACAGTCGAACATTATTAAACTTATTCTTCCTTACGCTCATATCCATAACATTTTCTATCTTGAACGAACTTTTTGGTTCAGTTTGAATAACAGAATAACAGAATAACAGGATGGATTATAATTGGATAATGTTAATAGATTCCTGGAGATAACCTAGTTTCATTCAAATGTTATGGCAGCTTGTATAATAGTAAAGCTTTTGAAAGTTCCTCACCTCAGAAGAAATGCTTTCGGGGAAGGCATTTTGAAGATAAATGACTTACGTTCACTTTACAAATGAGTTGAACAGCAAATGATTCTTTTGAGAGACCAATTATTTTTTCAATCTACTTGCTTAGTTTTAGCATATAACAGTTTTTATCAAATTTGAGAAAAGGAAAAATATGAGCACATATAGCATATTATTTTAGAAGAATATTGTTCCATCACGAAAGAACTTCGCGACATAATATGAAACCTGTCAAAGACAACTCCCGACCAGCCCAGCAGTACCCAATATGTTTCAACCACTGGCTAGTATCTCGTCTCTACCCACAGACATAGCGAAGGAACAGCGGGCTCCATCACGGCCAACACGGCTCCATGCCGTTCGTAGCCAGAGCAAACAGCCATAGCAGAGAGGAAACGAATGAACCTCTCCAATGAAAAACTCCCACGAACGTTCCGTCACGTATGCTTTGGAGTCGGAGTAGTAACCTAACCCTCAATCCCTCCACAGCCGTATCCGAGGAAAGGCTTTTAGCTCAGGATGTCGGCTACCGAACAGAACAGGGATTTTAAAGATGGCTGAGAATGTAATACTTTGAAAATGAAAGTATTATTACGTAATTAAAAAAACCTTTGTTTCTTTCTACTTTCCGAAAAAGGATCTGGCTATAACTTAAAAACTGTTAATCGGAAGCACTCAGTTTTGTTCCAGTGTTTATTAGATTATATGAAGCAGTTTAAGAAAACAGAGCATTCTTTTTAATAAAATTGGAAATGGTTTTAAAAATTGGAAAAAATTAATTTTCATTTTACATCCCACTTGAAAAGCTCATTTTCTAAAAATAAACAATACGGTAGCTTTAGGAGCAAATTATTTTGTGTAAGAATATTATTTTTATCTCCTTAAACAGACACATGACAGATAATCATCAGTGCTGCCTGTATTTTACTATAAAATAATAATTTAATACTATTTGGCTGCAAAATATCATAATTTCATGATCTATTATTTTAAATAACATTTTGATTAAATCATTATATCTATTGCATGTTTAACAATCAAAATACAGTAGACTCCAAATTAACGACGGTAACACCGAGGATTACGTCCATGGTTAACCCAAAATCATTATTAAACTGACAGTATTTAAATAAAACACGAGAAACAGGAATAAGCCATGTTATACATTATTGAGAAACATTATTAAATACTTTACGTGCCTTTTTTTTTTTTTTTTTTTTTTTTTTTGATTTGGAGAATAAATATATTTGATTATACATATTAAACGAGCATTCAAAACAAGAACATGCTTCAAAACTCGAAGAACAACCTTTTTGCTTACACTGCTTTTATATTTAGAAAAGAGTCGATGGGAAACAGAAGATGAGTGGCTGTACGCTTAAATTTATTTTTACTAATAAGCAATTTATTTTTAAAGGATTATTTAACAATATTTATGTACTTAATATTATTTATAATTAAATTACATAATATAGTGGATAAAAACAATTCCTAAATACTGCGACGTCATCTATAGTGTCACTGCTCTAATCTTTCGTTTTTTCATACCTTTTTTATACTCCTCATAGAAATTTTGCTTAATTATGATGATAAGTGATAGTAATTTTTCCAAAATTTTCCGTAAGGAAACTTGACATTTTTTTTTAAGACAAGAGCCAGATAATACGCAATCCGATTTATCCACTTTAGTTAATCGAGAGTTGACTACATCCAGCAATGATTTGTATATTTAAATCTATACAACAAATATAACATTTATACAACTTTATTTTCTTTTCTTTGTAATGTTCATATTTTGTTTTGCTTTACAGTCTTTAAAATAGTGCTGTATATATGTATATGTAATGTAATGATATTTTCACTGGAAAATTATTGCGTTTTGCAAGCTTAGAATTTTATGGTCACATTTTTTAAATACGATATCATATAAACTTTTGTAAATTGTTTGTTTTTTAGTACGCCATACTTAGAACTGCTGTCGTACGTATTGCAATTGTTTTTTGTGGTATTAAAAGAACATTGCTTTTTGGTTGCATTCTAAAATCAGATAGCATTTTCGGAAAATAGAGATTTATCACTACTTATAAGCATTCCGCATATTGATACTTTTAGTTCAAAATTTGTCACTAATCCATACTGTGAAGCAAATGTTGTATTAATTTTATCTTTAGAAACATTAAAACTGTTACTGAAGATATGTTATTTATATTTAGGATAAAAATGTCTTATAAGTATTTTAGTTAAGGAAGAATGTATTTTAAACACGAAAACAATTATCAAGTTTTTCATTTTATGGATAGCTTGGAAACGAATTAAGTAATCATTTTGGCAACTTTTTGTTTACATACGTTGCACCATATTTCATAGTTTAACAAGTTTCTTTATTCAAATGGTCAATATTACAATTGATTCAATGCAATTCAAGTGAATTAAAAATAATATCAAATGTTTTTATAAAAGTATAGAAAATTCTTTCAAAGTAAATTATTTTCTACTATTTTTTTTTTTTTTTTTTTTTTTTATTAAATATGGGAACAAATTAAAAATCAAGTCTTTAAAAGTAAAACAAGAAAAAGGTATGCGGGTTCATCTCCTTTTATGTGACCAAATAACGTATCAATTCGATCTGCTACAGTCTATTACTTAGGGACTTCGAGGCATTTGCCATCCCACCCCCATTAGCGATCGTAACTCGTGTCACCCTTACTGTATTTTCGCCACGTCATTTGAGACTATGATTTAAGTCAGCCTTTACTCGCGGACCTTTCCACGAAACGACTTACGCTAAACGGAAATGAAAAGGAGAAAAAATTAAGCGAGTAGACTTCTTTTCCGCAGCTGTTGCTCCTACGGTTACAAATTTAATCGCGAGGTGGAAAATAACCTTGAAGTATTTAATTTAAAGTAAGATAAGAGATTATAAGAATTCTACTCCCAATTATAAAAAAGTAATATTTGCATTGTATTTTAAAATATCCTTTATAAATACGAAATTATTTTTATGATATTTGAAATCGCTGTTGTAAGAATATTGGTATAGAATTAAACAATTTCATAAAATACATTCATTGCGTTTCAGTCTTAAAGGATACGTGTAAGAAACAACATCTTGAATCCATGTGTTAGTATTAAAAACGACATTGAAGTAGCACACGTTTTCTTCTGGAACATCAGGCAATCTATAGCCATACTAAAAAAGAATAATAGTATAATAATAATTATCGGGAAAAATAAAAATTGCATCACTTATATTAACTCTAACCCTTTTTATGCCAGTAAAAAAATGTATCTAATTAAAAATATAACCTACCTTGCAAAATACACAGAATATTGCTTAAATTTATTAGAACCTAGTGTCTTTATAATCTCTATGGTAAAAATATACAAACAGTGATACATGCAAAACATACAAATCATTAAACATAACTGAGCATTAAATACGCAAACTGATATTCTTTTTCAAAAAATTAAACAAAAGGCGCTGAAGAGCCATGTATGTTATTAAACATTCAAATATACCGAAATATTTATATTCTACATTGCATAGTATGAATGAATAGGTGTTTAAATATAACGCTTCAAATATTTTCAAAAGTTGAAATTTTCTAAGTATTGTAAGCGGTTTTTTTAAATTGAGGTAAAAATGCTGCAGATTGCCTCAAGCAAGACTATTATGAGAAATTTCAAGGAAATACCCAGTTAAGGGTTAAAAGTTTTGCACCAAGATAACAGTTTAATACCTTTAATTAAGAGTTAATTGTAAGTAATAATTCTTTTGATAAAATTTCCAAAAAATTACCATATTCTTCCAGTACTTTTTTAAGGCAGAGTAATTTTTAAAAGTGCTGTCATTAATGTCTCTTGTTATGGACTTGACCCATGCTCTTCTTACGCTGCAAAATGGAAATATTATACATGTAAAAAAAATCAGTTGAATTAGCTGAGGAATTATCAATTTTTACTTCCTTGTACGAAGCAAAAAGAAAGTATTGTAATAGCGAAAAGTTTCAGGCAGCATATTTCAACGAAAATATCCATTTTGACCACTATCAAATGCAATTTAACGATTTTTGCGTGATATTTGTACGTAAGGACAGAATAAAATGCTCTTTTCCTCCAAAAAAATTATAAAACTGCTTTAAAATGAATTCTGATGAGAATTTTTCGTGGCGTTTGTACGTATCTCGCATAACTCAAAAACGAGTAGCTACAGAACGGTGAAATTTTGTATATAGGACTACTATAACATGCAGATGTGCACCTCGTATTTTGGTTGCAATCGGCCGCGCTAACGTATATAAATATACTTATATATATATCCACTCTGTTACCCGGATCAGTGATCTCAGTTTCTTTACTCTTATATGTTTGTAAATTGTACATTTTTTGCTTTAAAATGATTGAATTATGTTCTTCTTATCTTCCGGTTAAGGTTTTTATCCCTTTAGTAAATCTGCATGCAACATTTTTAGAATTATCAACAATTTTAAAGTTGTTTAAGTGCCGCTAAGCTTAATAATTTTTTTGATGGCTGCCATTGCTTGTTTACTTTTGAAACAGCAGAGTAGTGGATTTGTTCTCAATCTAGAGAAACTTAGCTTCGCAACAACAACGATAACGCCTTCATTTATTATTGCGAAATAAACAATGCTTAATCCTTTCTGGATTTTTTTCGAGGAAATAAGTGTTTAGGATTTACTTCGTAATTTTGAATATAGATATTTTGAGTTTTTATGTATTTTTGCCTTGTAGTGAAGTGAGAACTCAATTAATTGAATGACAAATACTCAATCGTCTGTGAAGAACTATTTCCTTTTTGTTTTGTTTGCTTAATTTCTTTTATACATCGTTCTAGCTTTATTATAGTATTTGAATAGGACATGGAGCAACGATTAGATAATTCTTTAAATGATATAAATTTTGTGCATTCTGAGTTATAATATGAACGAAATATAATACTGTTAAGTGAACCTAGCGCTAGAGTGTCGCTATGGTAAACAAATAGAGCGAATTTTAAAGAATGCATTTATTCTATTATGGTTTATGCGCTGTCGGCGAAGTAGATTTAATTCAATGCAATAAGTTTAAATGAAATTCAAGAAAAAATGCGTATAATTTAATAATTTTCGTACAAGGAAGTCATGTGGTGTACACATCAGATTTTTTTTTAAGTTAAATGGCACAAATATAAAAATGTTTAGTATTCTGGCTTATATATATATACCTTGGTAGCACATAACATGGCTTGTTACAATGTATAATAAGAGATTCGGCAAGTCGTTCTTTGTCTCCATAGTCTTCTACCTGTAAAGTAAAATTCATTTCCTGTTCATTTCTTGGAATTTTTTTTAAAATTTTGATAAAATGTCTTTCAATAATTGTAAAAGTTACTGAAACGAATAATTATGAAAATAACTTAAATTACAATCAAATATCAAGGAATAAGCATTTCAGTCTCTAACCTTAATTGGTATTTACTCGTATTTTGATCTAGGTTATATTTTTATGACAACTTTCAACATACATTTTCTAGTTATCCATCGTATTTTATTACGTTCTAAAGTATCTGTATATACCCTTGACTTGATATCTACTATTCATATCATATTTTCGTAGTTATTTCATTTTAAACTCAGAAAACGTTTACTTGTGCTGTAACTGCGATTTCGAGTATCATATTATGTAGGTTTATGCATTCATATTAAAACTTAAAATTTGGTCTTCGAAATATTCTCATTAAAACTATGATATACCATATATTAATTTTAAATGCTTGCAATTATTTTGATTTGCATGTTAAGTTTTAGCATCAGTAATCATTAAAATTTTAACTTTAATTATTCGTGATCATTCACGTCATGATGCTATTTGAAATATATTTTTCGTTCACTTTAAAATATTAATTCATGAAGTTGCAAAAGTTTTAACTTGACCTAGCTTCCAGCGATACCAGTTGCAAAATTATAACATAGCAGTATTCACAAGATGCATAGTTAATGAGTTTTTAATCTACTTATTAAATATACGGAGCGGCTTGTTAAATATACAGAGCGATTGCGGTTTTCCATAAAATAGAAAGAACTTTTTTCACTCAGCAATATATTTTTTTACTGTTAATAAAGAAACAGTTTACTGAACGTTTTAATTTATAATCAGGGGAAAATTTCTGGAATACTCAAAAAGCATAGACATTCTATCTCTTTTCTTTCAGCTATTTAAATGGGACCGATGCCAATATTCTGAACGTCTGTTTGTAGCACTGAACTAAAAAAATTTAAATCAGCTGATAAAAAATTATTTCTAATTTTTCGTTTGCATTCATCTAAATCTATGAAATACGTTATACATAAAAACAGCAAAATCAGGATAGGCATCTGAAAACCGATTCATGAGTCCTACAAAAGTTAAAAACGGATTTATATTGCTCTATAGTTGTTATAAAGGTTGCAATTTTCGTGTATTTGTTACCCGGGTAATTTTAAATTGTACGAATATAAAACGTACATCATGGCTAGGCTTTCCTAAAATGATCCTTAGTTCTTCCTTAAAGTAGTATTTCATATATAGTTCCTAAAACTTTCCATAGAGCAGAATTTAGAAGCATAAGTAAATTGCCTTGAAGATGTAAGAATTATGTTAATTTTATTAACAGTTAATTTTTAAGTTCCTTTCCTGTCAAACTCTTAATTTCAATTTACTACTTCTGGCCAGAACGTAGTTTTGGAATCTTTCTGAATACTTAATGAGGAGGAGCGGTATTTAAACCGCGAAAGAGAGAATCGGAGTTTCTGATTTACGCGCGCCTGCCTTTTGGCTACTCTCTCTCTCAAAGCTGTTATTACGCTCGACCGTACTCAGGCCCTTGATAAGGTTCGTAGTCAAATAAAGTTAAGGGACCAACTTGATTAGAATCTTGATAGCTTAGGTTATATTTCTTTAGTTAATCTTAGTTTTAGTTTAATTTTTAGTCTCTTAAGTTCAAGCTTAAGTGTCGGCTTTGATTGTACACTCCAAGACGGAGTTTTGTTAAATCTTATTGGAATAATAAAGGGTTAGTTACCCTTCCATCTTGTTGTTTCTTCTCACACGAACTTAAACGATTATTCGCTAGTTAGTTCTTAAGATTCGTCACTTTCCACAGTAACTGAGAATTACACTAGTGAGAATCTTACATTTGGCGCCCGAAAAGTTTTTCAATGGACCATGCCGTTAGAATCCGGGAAGTTTACGTTGACCCCTCCGACCTTTAAGGTACCTCCAGACATCCACGTATCCTATGGAAGGGTTTGGATGTATTTTGGAAGCGATGCGGGCCTTCATGAAGCCAATAGTAACATTTGACGACAAGGGCTCAGTTCTGACGTTTTTGGAGCAGTTGGACCTACATTTCACCTTACATCCTGTGAATCAGCTGCAAAAGGTGACCATCGCTACTACAGCCTTAAAAGATCTAGCCCTTAGCTGGTATAAGAGCACAGGAAATTTCTTGTTGGGGGACCCAGGATCGAAATCGTATAACTGGGAAAATTTCAAGTCTGCATTACTAAAAGCGTTCCGTGTTTTCGTGCGAAGCTTCTAAAAGCGTTTTCGTGCGAAACTTGAATCAGAATTGTTTAGTAAATATCAAAGCAATTTCGATGAGTTGACGAAATTTATTTTACGAAAAATACAAATTCTAAATTTATTATACGGGAAAAAGCCCGATAATGAACTTATTGAAGTAATTCTACTGCGTCTTCAACCGTCAGCGCAAGATTTCCTCGAAGTGCGTAATCCGCAAACATTAGAAGTTCTATTTCAGCTTGCAGTGAAATTCCAAAGTAGAAGAAACTGGGAGAAAGTGCGTGCAAGTCAGTTTGGCCAGTACTAAGATTCACTCAAACCGCAAGTTCAGTATGGATATGGATATGGAGAAATGTGGTGGACACCCATTGTTTAACCATTGGCAATGTGGGTATTGTCCAGCCACACTAGATATCCAGATAAATTACACCCCACAGGACTTACAGGGGATTCTGCCAGGCGTTGCTTGCAATGCTTCGTATTTTACCAGACCGCGGGCAGTGCCTTTCTTTTTCCCTTAAATATACATCGGTGTTTTTACAGTTGGTGCCTTTCGCACTTACCTGCTATGGAGGGCAGCTCCAGGTCTGCTTGCATACTATGTTTTAAATAATAGCTTTGTTATATTATTCTAGGTTGTGCTGCATAGCTTAGTGCCTCTTATGGACAGGAAGCTCATTATAATTATGATTTTTTTTCGGAGAGGGACGTTCTTGATAGCGTACCTAATAAAGGGAGTCACTTCACTCTCTGAATTCGGGACTTTTAGATGATGATGAGCTGTAAGGGGGCATTTGAATATGTAATGGTCGGGACTGCCCCTTTCTCCACATGCACATTGATCTGAGGTTGCTAGTTTCCTTGCATAGTAGTACGTGAGAAAAGGGCCATGCCCTGATAAGAACCACGTTATTTCTCTAGTTATTAAACTGGGAGCTATGCCTACTTTTGGGAACAACTGATAAGTCTTTCTTCCTTGTTCGGCGTTGTCCCACCAGTTCTGCCATTCAGCTTTAGATTTGTTGGTTATGATTTTTTAAGGTGCGAGCCAGGCCATGGTACTGATAAATATTGTGCATTTTGACCCCTAGCTGCTTCTTTGGCTAGGATGTCAGCCTCCTCGTTGCCTTTTGTCCCTGCATGTGCCTTCAAGTGATAAAGAAGTGTTGATTTTGTGATGCTGAAGTTCTCTCTGTAATCCCTTGGATTAATTTTGATCGGTGGTGCGGGTTTGCGATGGCATGCATCGCTGAAAGACTGTCTGTAAAGATATGTGCTGCTTTTAAGGAGTTTGGGATGCTGTATTTTATTGCTTCAAGGAGCGCTACTGATTCCGCTTGGAATACACTATTTTGTTGATCTAGATGGAGCTTCTCTTCTGTTGTCGAATTGGGATCTAGGTAGATTTTGATTGCGCTGCCTTTATCTTCTTCTAGACCGGAACCGTCTATAAAGAGTTGGAATTTCTTTTCGCTTACTTCTTTTTTCAGGCTTAATGTGATATTTTTTTTTTCCTGGGTGGTGTTCATATGGGTGTGCCGGTGTCTCGTAATTCTCTGCTAAAAGTTCTAATGATTTGTAATGGCTCTTCTTTCGTAGTTGTAGTACTGTGTTGTCTTATGGAATTCTTGTTCAGCGCGTATAAAAAGTGGAGCGCCGTTAGCGATTTGGAAGAGTGCCGCATTTGTGTTGTTCTGTAGCTTCCTGGATAGTTAAGAAAGAAGGGTAGCTGAATTGTATGAAGCTTTTTTTGCTTTCTTTTGTCATTGGTTCTGCCCATATGGCTGCTCCGTATAGGGCAATCTTCTCGATTACTGTATGGTAGATGAGGTGTTGGATTGGTCTGCTCATTCCCCATCCTATTGCGTAATGGCAGACCGCACATTGAGTTGAACAGTGTTAAGCGAATTTCGCTTACTGCGCTCGCTTGAGGGTGTACCTTTGGCGCGGGGAGAAATATTGGTGACTAAAAGCAACCCTACGCTAGCTTATTCGTGATCTCCATGGCTGTCGAGTGTGATCGAGTGATGTTAACAACTGCAATGTTGTGGAACTTTGTTTATTAGTTATTTTAACGTTCATACCGATTGCACTTGCTTATTTTTCTAATATATGTTTCATTTTAATTTGTCTAACAGTGCATTTAATAATTGTTAACATATACTGTGCTTAATAATTCGTTATTTAGATGTAATTTGTTTACATGTTATAATTCTCAGTAATGTAAACTGGATTTTCCCGCTTAGTTTGTTAACGTATATTCGCGCTTTTATTTTCTTATTTCAAAGAATTAAATAAACAGCATTAAGGAATTGTAAAATTTCTTCAATGTATTTACAAACACTTGCTATATTCTTTATTTATGTACGTATGTACGAATGGAACGTATGGCAAATTCTGAATTGTTTTTATTCCTTAAAAGTATAATGAATAAATTTTCAATTAATATATCCTAAATTTCAGTTTTTTCTGAGCGAAAATTCGTACAGTTTTCAAAGTAAAGTGCAGAATTTCATAAGTATTAACATCTTACATTTTGAATGCAAACACTGCTTCACATTATTTTCGTAATGTCAGTTCATATTTACATCTTATCCTCCATCTATGCCGTGTATCAATTCTTTCATCGGATTATTTATCAATAATTCCTAGTAGAATTAGAAATATATTATTAGAAAATGTTTTTCCTGTATCATCTCTCCAAAGAACAGAAATTTAATTAAAGCGATAAATTATTGGTAATGAATTTTAGTCAGTATTTGAAAGTTAAAGTTTAGTAATTTGTTATTTAGAATTCTACCGCAGTGGAAAATATGTTATTTAGATTTCTGTTGCATTAACGATCCAGGTTGAAAGATTCTTGAGGCCTGTTAAAACCACCATTAATAGGATATGTACATATCCTAGTAATGGTGGTTTAACAAGGCCCTCTTTTCCTAATCGTTGGTTTATCAACTTAAAGTGATACGAAGTACCCCATCTGCTTATTCTTAGATGATTCAATGTGATTGTCATCGTCCTGGAAAACATGATGTTATCGGAACAAATAAGGCTATTACGGATTAAAGGAATGAAATCTTAGCGAGATAATGAATCAAATGATCGTTTCTTATCAGTAAATGACTATATAAATAAGTTGTTTAAAAATATCTCATCTCAGTAGATTTCTAATTTCATTGCAAATCTTGGAGGACTGTACTTAATTCTTAACATTCTTAACTCTTACAATACTCCCGATTCTTCATTCTTCATTCCATCGGGAGTATTGTAAGAGTTAAGAATTCAGTCATTCTTAACTCTTACAATACTCCCGATGGCCGAAATATTTGATGATCAGTTAATACTATCCTATTTCAAAGATTTTCTTGGCAAAGAGAAGGTTGATTCTGTCTTTGCGGAACTCTGCACGTATCCTTTCCAACCTGTAAAACTGAATATTTACAGCCACCAACATACTCCAGCTCGACTTTGTTGTGCCTTCGGGGATGAAAATGGACTCACCTACAGATTTTCGGGGACATCGATCGCCGCCCAGCCGTGGACTCCTGTGCTGCAGCAAATTAAAAGTGAAGTGGAAGCACTCACCCACGAAAAATATAATTACGTTCTGCTCAACAAATACCCTGACGGAGATGCCAAGATTTCCGCGCACAAGAGACGATGAAAGCTCCCTGGACCCTTCCTACTGCATTCCCACACTGAGTTACGGTGCGACGCGAGTAATGCATTTTACAAGAGAGAAATATATGACTCATATTCTGAGTCTGGAACATGGATCGCTTCTGGTGATGAAACCCCCCACGAATGTAGTCTGGAAACACGGTCCCATCCCAGCCGCCCGAAGTGAAGACTATTCGAATAAGTTTGACGTTTAGAAAAATTATATCTTCGCAACTGAACCGTTCTTCTGATGAAATGGACTTCGGTTATTATGACGACATAATTAACTCCATAACCCCAAAACTGTATATGAATAAAAAGACTTTTCTGCGCAAGAAAGCACCTTTAAAAGATGAGATATTCGAGATACCCCAGGACGACTGGCTGACTCGACATTATAAATCATCACGAAATCATGATGAAGTGATCAATTATTGGTCATCAAAACGGATGTGCCATCTTTCCATCGTTGTAAGTAGAAATAATAACGTTCGAATTCATATACAGAACTTTGCAGAAAAGAATAATTTCAACTGTGGATCTTCTCTTGAGGGTGTGAATATGACTCCTGCGACGTGGTATGATTTCATGAACAAATTACCAAACTTTAATTTCAAATATTCAGAAGCATCTTTTATAGCCAATAATCAGTTGGGCGGTATTTTGTACAAACGCGCAATGTGTTCTTCAACAAATTTTTAAAAACTCCTGCGGTGGTTTCCGTCTCGTAGCAGATTGTTTTGAATTAAAATCATATCAGACCGATAAACTTTTAGATTTTTACGATGAAATAACTCAGACTATCCAAACTGCTCTATTTCAAAATGTGTTACCGCATAAGATAAGAAAACGGCGATCAAAATGCCAGCAGCTGGAACATTTAACTAGCGAGCTATGCATGCAGAAACTTAACAATATTATTTACGAGGAGTACTTAACCAGTCTCAACGAGGTATTTATCTGTGAGGGATGTGCTGTCGATCATCCAAGTCAGCGTCGCCACCCCTGTATAATGCAGACAACTCGGGAAAAAGCTATGAATAATATTGACAAAGCTATATTGTCAATGAACTTTAAAAGACTTGCTCAAAAGCTTTATGTAAACAATTGTTGTTGTATTTATGACAGTGATGACGTTTTAAAGAATATTTCATTGTCAACTTTACGTGATAGAATAGAAAATTTGTGAGAAAAAATTGTTTTAGTAAGTATGTATTTTAATAAAAAATGTTTTATTTATATTGAAATGTAACTTTACTTAGCTGTCAACTGTTTCATATTATGTTTTAAATGAATATCTCTTTACATTACTCTTACTGCTTAAGTCTTCATAAGAATACTCTTTTTTTACCGTTTACTGATTATAGGAAATGATATGTTGCTCAGGTTTTATACTAATGCATTGCAAGATTTTACATTTCATTTAAGTATTGGTAAAGTTTTACTGTTCCTAATGAATGGGATTTTCGTAGTGTGTACGTGGATATTTAATTGCATTTATCTTAATAATGCTTGGGAATAATTTGATAATATGCGCATAAATATACTTTTCTTTTTAAAATCTTAATTGAAAGTTAATTAGTATTAAAATGTTAATTGTACTGCAAAATGATTCATGACTTTTTTGTAGTATATACTGGCAAGGCTAGAAGAAGTTAACTTTATGATTTTCCCACTGATAGTAAATCTGAAGCCGATAAAAATCTGTAAAGACTCATGTTTAGGTAAATAAGTTACTTTCTATAGCACATTTTCTAAAATTTGTTGGAATTTTGGGTAAAAGACTTAAATTTGGTAAAGGTTCTATCTTCATTTTGCATAAAACAGTAAATATTCTACCAGTGGACAATGTTTCTTTCGTATTTAGTTTGTAAGGATCTTAAGTTTTACTAACGTTTATTTTATTTTAAATCTTTACTATCACTTCTTATTTTCTACTTCCGGCCAGAATTATAAGCGTTAAGGTTTTTATGCAAAGTTTGTCTGGCGAACGCCAAGTATTTAAGTTGTGGCTTTTTGCCAAGCGAGAGAGAGGAAGCAGTGAGTCGAAGCAGGCCGCTTACCTTAGAAGTTACGCAGTTGCTGGTTGCCTTCCAGGCCAGAGGTTTTAATCCTCTTGATAAATTTTAAACGTATTGTAGTATTCACAGTTTTCTGTACTACATACGTCTTCCTGTTATTATAAGGCCAATCTTCCACGTTTATTATTTTAAAGTTAAATTAGAGTTTAGTTCTATTTTTATATTTTACGTTAGACCCCAACTAGAGGGTTTGTGTATTCCGAAGTAGGGAAGTTTTTGTAAATAGAGAAAATAAAGGGTTTTGTATACCCTTCTTGTGTATCCTGTCTACTTCCCACAATTAGTGAACATAGCTTTAGTAAGCTCTCTGTTCCGAGTCAGGTCCTTGCATGTTCCCGAAGAAGGTAAGAAGGAACATTGAACCTGATAGTGGCGCCCAACGAAGAAGAATAACCATGGCCGAGTTTCAAGAAGAACCTGTGCTGCCTGCAGAAACGGCTCAGAATCCAGAAATGCCAGCTGCCGCCCTGGAAAGATTTGGTTACATCGTCCAGACCATGCGCGCCTCGATGAAACCAGAAGCAACATTTAATGGAAACTCACCCTCACCGGTAACCAGTTTTTTGGAAAAATTGGATGACCACTTCATGCTATACCCCGTGCACGAGTTTCAAAAAGTTACCTTAGCTACCAGCGCTTTGAGGGGCCAAGCGCTTAACTGGTTCAAATGTATAGGCAGAAGTCTCTTGGGTCAAGCAGGAAGTCCCACCTATACTTACGAGAATTTCAAGACTGCCCTACTAAAAGCCTTCCCTGTTGTAAGGGATCGTGCGAAATTAGAAACGGAACTTTTTAGTATATATCAACAAAGAATCGAAAACCTCTCAAGTTTTATTTTAAGAAAAATTCACGACTTCAAACTCGTGTATGGAAACCGTCCGGATCCTGAAATAATTCAAGTGATTTTGCCGAGGTTACTGCCCCAAGTGCAAGACTTTATTGAATTAAGAAATCTGACTACACTGGAAAAGTTATTTGAGCTAGCAATCCAGTTTGAAAGTAGAAGAACGGCGGACGTCGAAGGAAGACGCCAATATCAACAGCGAAACCAATTTGGTACGCCAAGATTACAGCAAACTCAAGCACATGGCTACGGAGAAAAAGCGAATCAGTGGGCAAGGAAACCCGAGCATTCAAAAACAGCCGGCGAAGGTTGACAGTTCAATAGCAACCCAGGAAAAAAGTCTCAAGGCCAGTGGAAAAAGGAGGAAAGCACGGAAACAAAAAAGGATTTAAACTAAAACGGATTTCTGCTGACGGGAGGGTGCGGAAATCCGAAGGCCACGAAAACCCCTCTTCCTACAAGTTAAATACAGTAATGGTGAAAAATCTGACCCTTCCGAAGATTGAAGTCTTCGTGAATAATATCCCAGCCACCGCCCTCCTGGATACCGGCGCGCAGTGTTCCTGTGTGGCAGAAGATTTTTTTAGGAAGTATTTTCGCAAATACCGCATATATAATTCGGATAATACGACAGTGTTAGCGGGGCAAGGAGAAAAATGTAAGTGCGTAGGTAAGTACCTTGTATATCCGTATCAAGGACGAACAAGTAAGGTGATGTTTTTTATAGTAAAGAATCTGCAAGCACACTTAATCTTAGGAATAGATTTTCTTTCAGACGCACAAGCAACACTGGATTTTAATGAAGCGTCCCTTAAGCTGACAATGAAAGCAGAAAAGGCGTGCAGAAAAGGCTGAACCGCCGATGTTAAAACTTGACCACCTCCCTAATGACGAGCAAGGAAGAATCCGACAAGTGGTAAGTGAATTTGCTTCGTTATTTAGTGATATTCCAGGATATACTCAGGTTACTAACCATAGTGTTGACACCGGAGATGCAATGCCAGTTCGCCAAAAACCATACCGGTATGATAAGAGTAAGGAAAAAATTATAGAATATTACCGACATGCTGCTACGTAAAAAGATCATAACGCCCATCTCAAGTAGTATTCTAGCCCGGTGGTTTTATGTAAGAAAAATAATGACTATCCTTTGACGCATCCAAAAAGGTGGAGATTCGCTATTGAGTACCGTAAATTAAACCCATAACTAAATATCCAGTATATCCGTTACCGATCATTGAAGAAATTCTAAGGAACATAAAATCAACCAAATTTATGACGACTTTAGACTAACGACTGGTTATTTTCAAATAGGGGTTAGACCTGAGGACGCGCTAAGACTGCTTTATATAACCAAGTCTGGCACTTATGCATTTTCGCGATGCCGTTTGGCCTTTCAGGGGCCCCGGCAACATTTTCAGCGATGCATGGACATTGTGTTAAGAACCGTTCTTGGAAAGTCCACATTTATCTATTTAGACGATATCATTATTACTAGTGATAATCTCGACCAACATGTACAGGATTTAAGACAGGTGTTTTCTTTATTAAATGAGGCCGGTCTAAAAGTTAATGTCGAAAAGTCAAATTTGCAGCCCTGAATTAAAATATTTAGGTTACAAGATATCTCAGAAAGGAATAGAGACGACGAATCAAAAATAATTGCTGTACAAAAAGTATCCGACTCCAAACACGGCAAAGAAGCTCTCTTCTTTTCTAGGACTTTGTTCATATTATAGGTCCTTTATAAAAGATTTTGCAGCTATCGCTGAGCCATTGTTAAAATTAAAAAGGAAAAAGGTAAGATTCTCGTGGACGGGCCGAAGCCAATAGTGCTTTCGAAAAATTAAAACAAGCATTAACGCAAGCCCCTGTGTTGAAATTTCCTGAAAAGGATGAGAATTTAGAAATTTCAGCGGATGCTTCGGATTATGCGGTAGGAGCGGGTACTTCGCAAAATCAGCAGCCCATGGCATTTTTTAGCCGAACTTTAAATCAAACACAAAGAAACTATTCCGCGACCGAGAGAGAGGCACTTGCAGTTCTGTTAGCAGTGCAAAAGTTCCGAGTCTATTTTGG